ACAATGCGAACTTGCCTCTGAAATTTGGAACTCAATTAGAGTTACAATCAAAGTTTAAAACACAATAAGCAGAACAAGAATCAGAATTTTGAGCACCAAGCTATGACGGCTCAAAGTTACTGAAATTTCCTCCTTAAACAAGGATTTTCTAGATTTAAAATGGGAACTTTAAGACTTTGGTTGAATATCGAAATGGATTTGGAATGACACCAAATTTAGCAGTATTACACTACCATCTAAAAGCTATTCCTCTGTAAATTTTCATGCAAAAACTGGAACGGAAAGTCAGTTAACAAAACCATTGAAGTTCCAAGAATTTCTAAGGCAAATCTGCCTTGTACTTTAGTTTTCCTTTTCTCAAACATTTGGCCAATGAACATTCCTCAAATACGATTCATTTATGAGGACAAAGTCTATAAAATATCTAAAATATGTTTGATAGGTGATTAACACTAAGGATTTCAAATAACAAGTCCCAAATCAAGATTAGCTATAGATCAGTCCAGAATTAGGGTTTTCTTTCACGAAGACACTTCTGAAATTTGGCCACATATCAGTCAATTCAACTCGAAATTGAGTGTGGTCAGTGGCATTGAAAACTAGATTCATAAGGCTACAATTTCTTAGAAGGAATCATTTTAAAATTCTATGCACAACTAGCTCATATTTGAGCATCAATTCACAGCTCAGAACAGAGCTTCCAGTACATATGAGAAACATAACAGACAATTTTACAAGGTTGGTACGGCTCACTCAGGTGGAATCAGAGCATGCATTTTATACCATTGGAAAACTGGAAATATCTAGTTTTTAGTGCCACAAATGGCACTCGATTTTGACGTCGGAGCAAAAAGGTATGGCCAAAACAAAAATACTGCCAGAGCACTCTGGACACCCGTTTCCAGCTTTGGCAAATTTTGGAAATCTCAACATTCACTCATCCAAATCACGTAAATTTTTTAGAAAACTTTATACACGACCTATATTACACATTTACATCAAAAACAAGTCAATTGAACCATAAAAAAGTACACCAAAGTGCACGGCAATGGCAGGGGCAGAAACCGTAAAAATTTCCTTTTCACTTCCTTTGAGCTATCTTCCACAAAACAACTTATTTTCTCTAAATTAAGCACTAATCCAATATAAATAACATCAAATCCCATCAAATCAGTTCATCAAGCCAATGTGAAATTTCATAGAGTCCACTCATAAAATTTTCAACAATATAAAGCTACCCAGGTGAATCTATGCGCTCATAAGTGCAATATAACTTCCATAAATCAAGAATTAAGAGGTTGATCGTTGTATACCTTCTTAAATGATTAAGACAGAAAATTTCGATCATTTTAACCTTAAGAAAAACCATGAGATAAAGCTCCTTTCCTAGTTTAGCTTGATCACCAAGTGATTTGCAAGTTGTGTGTAAATTTTGAGATGATTTGGATGAGTTTTGAGTGATGAAATGAAGAAGAATTTTGGTGGTTTCTTCCTCCTTGTTGGTTGGCTGTCTTGAGCGAAGAGAGAGGGAGAGTTGTGCTGAAAATAAAGCTTCCTTGAGAAGCTTAAATGTATGGCCAAAAGTGTCCCAAAAGTCAACTAGAAATAGTATGCGTTCGCATGCATTTCGTGCCCGATTCCGCTCGGATTTGTTTCACTTGTGCACTAAACCTCTAATGCACTTTCTTAAACATTATAATTATCCACTCTTAATAGCATAGAATAAATTTCTCAAATCTCCAATTAACCGCTCCGGTTCAATATACGCGAACTTTCGAATTTCACGCGTTACGGCGAAACTTTCGAGAAACTCTTATAACGATAGTATAACTAATTAATATTTGAGTACTTTGGCATAAAAATACCTATTTTAAGACTAATGTATGAGTCTTCAAATCTCCAAAATTATTACACTCTTGATTTAAATATAGTCTCGACAAACATGTCTTCGCTATTTCTTATCGAACAAGCCTCTGAAAAATAAAATTTTCTAACAAAACATTTTTAAAACATAAAGGAGATATTATTCCATATGAATGGATTTAAAATGATTGAAATAAATTATTCAGAGAAAACGGGTGGATAAATAATTAATTAAGCCATTAAAATAAGATTAAAATAAGTAAAAATTCGGGTTCTCACACTAAGCTGAAATTTTCACATACAAGCTGGAATTTTTCTTAAACAAGCCAAACTAACATATAAAACCTAGATATTTCACACGGCAAATCTATCAAATCATGGCCAACCTTAAGCATCATATAAGGGCTGAAATTTCACCATAAAAGCGAAAAATTTCCAAATCTCCACTTCAAACCATGAAATTTCTCATAAAACTACCAATATTCAACTCTAAACCACTAGTATGCAAGTTTTAGAAGTAAAAAGAAGTTTCTTGCCATAGATACCTTAAAACCCCAAGAAAGATGGAAACTTAGGGGCTACTTAGTTAAAGGGTTTGGGAATCACAGAATGGAATGAACCCCTTATTTGTTATTTGGGTTAAGCATATTGGAATGCAATTTTTGAAATCATTTCTAAAAACACGAACTTATCCCATTCCCGAGCAAATTGGGAGGTTTTGAACAAAACTCTCAACTTATTCCCTCAGACAACCTTTATGACAGACCTACCCTCTCTTTCTCTCTATCACACGCTGCACCTTCTATTCTTCTTTTTCATCAGATTTCCTATCTCTTATTCTTCATCATATAGTCTTCATCTCTTATCCAAAATTTCTTGGAAAAAAAATCTAAAATAGATCTAAATAGGATAGGAATGGGCAAATATCTTAAGCGATAAAGAGAAGTAGATTTCAATTTAGAGATAAAAATTCGGTAAAAAGCAAGGACCGATTGGACAACAACAAAGAGCAGTAGGTATTCTACTGGAACAGAGATCATTGAGTGGAAGGATATTCCCGTGGAGTTGCTGTTGGGGATTGTTTCACTTGTTGATGATGATAGGATTGTGATTCTAGCTTTTGGGGTTTGTAATGGCTGGAGGGATGTCATTTCTTGTGATCTCATCCATCTCAAACTTTCAAATACTTTATTTTAATTTTCGTAAATTTGTTTAAATATGAAAAATTGGTTAAATAGCGCATTAAATACAAAACCTGTCAGTTTCTCATAAAAAGTTGGTATGTTATGGGCAATTTCAACTTTTTTTTTAACTTTCACATATTTAATTTATGTTAAATACAAAACATACTAGTTTTTCTTTGGGCGCTATTTAACCAATTTTTTCCATAAAAAACTGGTATGTTTCCCATAAAGAGTTGGTACAAAACATACTACAAAACCTGCCAGTTTTCCATAAAGACCTGGTATGTTATGCACTATTTAATAAAGAGCCATGGCTTGTCGTATGTGTAATTCTTTTGCTTTATAAGAATTGTTATATCAGGGGTAAATTTGGAATTTAATTGCATTTAATTCCAAAACACTCATCAAACCAAGCATCAGGAATTGGAATGATGCTAATTTCAATGTGTGAACCAAACTAGATATTGGAATGAAAAGTTTAATTCCAAAACCAGAGTCTATGATTTCATTTCTATTTCCGATTCCAATATATGAAACAAGCATCCCCTTAGTGTTTCTTCCTCCAAAATCTCTCCACTCAAACCTTTAATCTTCCTTAGTTATCACTTTCTATGGAGTAGTTTGCAACATTGTTGGTTACAACTCAAGATTCAAGCAAGAATTTGAGGTTTCAAATGAAGTTTTCTCTCCCTTTCTTCCCTCAAGAGGTTCGGCCAAAGCAAGGTGAAAAATAAGAAAATTTTGGTCAAATTTTGTTTTTATTAAAGAGGTAAGAAAGTCTTTGGTCAAGGTCAAAGATCCAAGAATTTTGTGACAAATGTTTAGCCAAGATTAATCTTCATTTTGTTGTCTTCCAACGGCTAAATTATCTAACTATCGTCTAATTATCTCTTAACACCTTATAAAATAATATCCCTTTATGCAAAATTCTTACTAATTTTCAAAAATTTATCGCACTTATCGTATTAGCGAGTCCCACTTCCATAATGCGTTTCAAACTTAACATGAACTAACTTATACAAGAAAAATGATTTAAAAATTGGAGTCACTTATAAAAATATCTAGAAAATTAAGGTAATAAAGTAAAATAAAGAAAATGTATTCGAAGAAATAAAATAAAATAATATAAACTAAGAAAATTTTTCGTGTCCTCACACTAACCATGTCAGATCGCAAACCCATTTCCTTCTTATTTCAAATGAGAATAATAAGGACGATGAAATTGGATGTGGTAAAATGAGCAGGATGGGTGGGATTTGCTTAGATTTAAGATGAGGCGGAATAATACGAGTTTAGATCTAACCTTACCCATATCTGTTTTGGGACTAATTTGGGCAAGATCATTTTGGAATAGATTTAGATTGATCATGTCCAATACTCAAATATATTTTCTATATTCTTTTATCCTTTAATTCTTTTTTTATATAACTTTAATATTTTTATTTATTAAATTTCTTTTAGTCTTATTTTGAATTTATATTTTCTAAATTCTTTTTCCCACAAATTTTCTTTTATTTATTTTCTATGTAGATATATATTTTTTATCATCTCCGGAAGAAAAAAAAAAAAAAAAACACCACCTCTAGATGAAATGAAGAATAAAAGCCAAATTTCTATGCTGTGTTTAGATCGATCATTTTTTCAAAAACAAATTTTTCAAATACAATACACAATAATTCAAAAAACATATCATCCATCCAATATATTAAATATTTCAAAAAATTTTTATAGTAAAAATTTTTCGTACACACTATTACAGTAAACTTTTTTAAAAGTATCCCTGAAAACAACTAATCCAAACGGAGCGTAGGTTCTTTGAAAATTTCGTTCGATTTCTTGTCTCTATATGGACAAAACGACACTTCAAATTTGGGACTTGCGTCTCACGACGGTTTTCTTGATTGCAAAACCTGCTAAACCGGCTACCCTTTTGTAAGTTGGAGGGTTAAAAGTGTTCAGTTAATAGTTGAGGGGGCGATCCAGGGCTTTTGCCTAGTCATAAACCTAGGCCAAATTAGACAGTTGAGCAAGCTTTCCTGTGCCCACTGGTGGATAATTCACCATTCCTTATACAGACAAGTTTCTGGAATTTTATTAACATCAATGGCGACGGAAGAGGAAGATTCGATAGAGGGGGCAGCAGCGACGCGGCGACAGCGGCTTAGAGCTCTCAGAGCCGCTCAGGAACTCCTCAACACTCCTGACCAAGACGACCTTCCCCACCACCACGCCGCCCCCGCTCCTCCTCCTGGTCCTCCAGACCGCGACGCCGACAACGATGACGAAAAAGAAGAAGAAGAAGAAGGCCAAGAAGAACGAGAAGAGTAAGAACTTGATGGTAGTTAGTTTTACTTGCCTCTTCCTCTCGTTGTTTGGTTCAACTCTTTCCATTTGTAGAAGAATTAGAGAAACTAGGGTTCGGATACAGCAGCAGTTAGTTATTAAAATTGCCACTTTTTTCTATTTCTCTTCACTCCTTTATGTTTCGGAGTGTATGCTACGATGGATGACATTTTTTGTTGCTGTTGTACATTGAACAATTAATTTATTTTATTAAGGGAAAGTTGTAAAGATTCTGATAGATAAGAGGGGGCAAATTTTTTATTTTTATTTTTTGGTAGGGCAGCTGGTCCGATTTTCATATGGTTTTTTGGACATTGAGCATAAAATTTGGTAATAAGTAACTCAAATGGAGCCATTAGTCTGATAAATTATTTATTTATTTACTTCGTATTTTAGCAGATGATCAAGTTATTTGCATGTGAAATTTGCAGCAATGTCAACATGAAATTCCGGAATTACCTTCCTCATGATAAGCAGCTTCAGGAGGGGAGAGTTGCTCCTCCGGTACTACCAAAATTTGAAGACCCTGTGGCTGAAGCACCTCCTTGTCAAGAGAAGAAAGAGGTTTTTCTTGATTGCTTTTGTTTATGTGGTTTTGTTTGTTTGTTTACCTCGTTGGAGGTATAATCCTGTATTCATGTCTTGGCTTCTGAATGTGCAGGACCCGTTTCTAAATATTGCCCCAAAGAAGCCGAATTGGGATCTGCGGAGGGATGTACAGAAGAAGCTTGACAAGCTAGAGAAACGTACACAAAAAGCAATGTTTCAGCTTATGGGTATGCTATTTGTTTCATTTGTCCTCATTTTCATTATTGGTTTCAGTCAGTGTTCTATTGATAGTTTAGATATATGTAATTGCCATTGTGTACATGCATATTCCACTTGCTGTTTGTTGGCTTATTTTTAGATGGTCCTGCATAGGTTTGTAGAAGAGTGCAATTTGCTCCCGTGAAAACCAATTTCTATACCTTGACTGTTCTGAACTTCTGTTTTACTTCCTCTGTCTGGTTGCTTGTGTAATCTCTTCCCCAACATACTTTCCTTTGAGAAATCAATTAACCTATGGTTTGGGACTTTCCATAAGAACTGTTCTTTGTTTTGGGCTGATGCTGATTACCAAAAGTTGGATGAAAATGGAGTTTAACATACTTTGCTTATGGACTTTTCTGCATTGAATTGATACATGCATGTAGATAGACATGGCCATGGCCTAGTTATTCTGATTCAAAAATCGATAGTTCCGCTTCTTTTGAAAGGTGGAACCTAAACCAGCCCTTATAGGGACGGTCACGGTTTCTTCTAGTTACGGTTCCAATTCTTTTAGTTCTGTTTAAACACTTGTTGTAAAATTGATTCTAAAAAAAATGGCGATGAATGTTAAAAAAAAAGAGAGAATTTTATTGTATTATCATATGCAAGGAAATAGAAAAAATGATGCAAATTTTATGAAAAAATATCTCATTATTGATTGGATTAGATTGGTCTTGAATTTAGATTAGTCATGAGGTACAGACTTACTAATGGAATGGGACAATGGGTTGTTGGGCTAGAATTGGAGCTTCTCGTATTAGGTGCTAACTATCGATATTGAACTCTAAACTGACCAAAGAGGTTTAGGTAGCAAATGTTTTTTAGACGGTTTAAACAGGTTGTAAACCAAAATTTTGGTGAACCTGAACCTACACCTTTAGTCACTGTTGTGGTTCCGGTTTTCAAAATCTGGTTCCAGTTCTGGTTCAACAAACCACGAGGCCAGTTCTGGTTCAAACCTGAATCATGGCTACCCCTACATGTGGGCAGAGTCATCTGAAAACTTAAGGGATAATTTGAGGCTTAATTGTTGAAGGACCTGGGCCATTGGTTAAAAGTTTAACCTGATTGTTTGGAAGTAATAGTTGTTTGCTTTTTCATCCTTTTTATCTTTTGCCTATCATGTCCTTTGTCTGGTTGAATTTTTGTGAGTTTCATAGTGAGACTTGGATGGAATTGATGGAAAGCATTGTTATAGTATATGTGCAACAGAAACTGAACTTTTCAACAAAATTTTATTTTGTTAAAGATATAAAATCACAATTAACAAAGTCAACTGATAGTTATCCTTCTTTTGTCTATGAAGTAACGAACCTTGTTCTTTCATAATAGAGTAGTTATTGGAGAATGTCTTGCTGTGGAAATTAATCTTGGGGTTGGATATTAACAGTTGTAGTGAAGGGCAGTTTGTTATAACATATTATAATTATATGTGAAGAACTATATAAAGGGGTGTGAGTTTGTGTGGCAAAGTTGCCCCCAATCAAATGAAAAGAAATTGAGACTTCTATTGGTGAAACCAATAGGTGACAAATCTGAGCATTTGATACTTTTCTGAGCTGTTAGTTTAGACTATGGGTCTATTTGATAACATAAAAAAGTGCTGAATCTGAATTTTTTCAGACATTTAGATGTTTTGAGTGCTTGATAAATGAAAATCTATTTATTGAACTTGTTAAGCAGTTCTAAACCTATGTGTATTTTTTTCAGCACAAGAATTCTAACTGAATGCTTAATTCTGATAAGAATCAATAGAATTACTTCAACTACCTTATCTTATCTACCAAATCTACCCTTGTTTGTTAATTATGTTCAAACAACCTAATATTCTCTATCTAACGATTTTTAGTTTCTCTTTTCTCCCTTTTTAATGACTTTAACATCTTCTCCATACTCCTCATATAATATATTTCATCTTTTATATTAATTTGATTTAAAAACAAATATTGTCATTTTCATACCTAACAAATTTAAACTAATTAAATCATAGATTCTATTTCTTTTTTGAATGAGAGGATATAAGGCAAAATTGTCAAATTAAACTTATTAAGCATTTAGCTATAAATATTTATCAAATAGTATAAATAGGTTTAGCATTAAAATTCAGACATTCATATATTTTTTTCAGTGCTTAAAATTCAGCAAATTAATTGTTTCAGTATTCAGATTTCAGAATTCAGACTTCAGACTCCAGATTCAGTTTTATCAAACGGAACCTATGACTTGTTGGCTAATTCTTTTTTTCATTTTTTATGCTCAGTGATATCCTGGTCTACATTGTTGACCATTGATGTCTACAAAGACAAGAAACTATTAATAAGATGATGCAGGATAAATTCCGTTAGATAAGTTAGATAACATTAGGTCGTGATGAAAGGGTAAGGAATTGCAGTAGATTAGGATTTTTGGCATTAGAATGGAAGATTAGGTTGTGATCAGATAGAGTCCATAGTTGAGACATACATGTAGATTCCTAGCCAGTTGTTGTAAACTTGCAATTAAAAATCATCAGAAGATGAGTAATTTCTCCAAGTGACTGAGAACTGATACAGGAGTTCTATTAGATTGGATTACAGGACGAGAGGGTTGTAGTTTAAGCATAGGTAGAAAGCATATGAAGAAAAATGATGAGTGAAATGCTTTTGGACTTTAGGAGTTCAAATAAATAGGAAAAATAAGCTAATCAGATTAAAATTCCATTCAATTGTCAGACTTAAAAGTTCTCTGTTTTAGCTGTGTAAATCAGTTTACTTTTGCCTTTATCAAAATTACTTCTTCTTTGACTCCATCTCTGTGAGCTTTAGGGTATTGTGCTAAATTAGCCACCTAATCAAAGCTTGGCCGAAATCTTTTTGTGGCGGAAATCCTTTTGATGGTAGAAAGTTTTAAGTAAAACTCAAATTTTGCAAACAAATGCCATCCAACCCAAGCCAGTTGATTGAAGATGACTCTAGCAGATAAGGTCTAAAATCTGGACCAAAAGGATAAGGAACTGAATTACACGAGGATTTCAGGCATTAAGATTAGACAATGATCTTCATCACAGTTCAACTCTAGAGTTCTAAATTTCCTAAGAACCTGCTGCTTTGTAAAGAAAGTCAGTTCTCTTTTGGTTTTTCTAAAAAACATGCATTTGATCAGGAAGACTTTGTATTTGTCCCACTTCTTGCATCATAAGAGAAGTCTTTTGAAGCAACATTCTGGTAGTTGTAGATGGTTATGCCTTAATGAGAAAGCAGCAAGGTTCCGTATTTGGAACTTGAGATGTCATAAGTTGATACTTTTTAGTTTGAATATGATGTTGGTCTCCTTTTATCTGGCTTGTAGTGCATGGAACAGGCAGATAAGCTAAGAACTATGTGTAGGTGCATGAGAGAGAGAGAGAGAGAGAGAAGAGAGTAGTTTTTATTGACTTTCTGACAGACAACTGTCTGCTGGAAGTTGCTCCAGCAGTGTTCTCATGTGGAAATAGTAAAATAGCGGCAAGGAACTTTCAACATGCATTCAAATGGATAAAATAGATGCTGTGGCAAGTGGAACTTAGATCATATAGAATAACACATCTTTGGATCATTCATGAAAATTATCTCATCCCTGGACATGTTTACTTGAGATTGGTCATCACAATGGTTGTAAATTTTTCATAAACTCATTTTGACTGCCATTATTTCTCTTAAAAATTAATAAATCTCTCTTCTAGTTCCCTCCCCTAGCCCCTCCATGGAAATAATTTGATGCTGTAAAAAGCAAAGGATCTTGCAGTTGCTGAACTAAGCAACTTGCTTGAAGCCTATGAGAGTCTTTTCTCTCTGTCCAATTTAATGTACTTGACTAGCTTAAAAGAACATGATCTGTATCACTGTGAATAATTTTAGCCAACTTTGCGGTAGCTAAAGCACCTTCTTAATTTGCAATTGCAATATGAAATGGTCCCAACTTTTAGTCTTCGCTCCTTAATTGCACCAGCATAGATACTTCATCATTCCTTCACAAACCAATCAAATACTAAGGGAGTCATCTTAATATCATTCTTTTTGTTTATAAAGCTGTATGCAATGTAATTACTTTAAAGAGAAGCTTATTCTTTCAGATACCATTCAATGATTGAGCACCTTTTGCCATTTGACATGATTATTCATGTTATCCTAGGTGGCATCTAGACTCCGAACACCTTAATTCCTAGTATGAGCATACATAAAACTCAATTCAATCTTGCCTTTCTTAAACTAGATGTAGAAGATCATAGAACTATCATGATATGTGAAAAAGGGATTTGATGCAGCAGCAAGAAGCTATGTGGATATTATCTGATTTCAGAACTTTTGATGTTATAACTTGTGAGAATCAGTAGATAGATGAGGGCAGAAGTAAGAGTTTACAAGAACCGAAGAAATGAAGAAGAGTAGAAATTTAGGAAATGTTACCTGGATTTCCATATGATTAACTGCGCAAGTTCAGAAAAAGGAAATAGAATCGATAAGAACACACAACACAAACACGTGACAGCTCAAAAAAAAAAAACGTGAAAACAAATATTTTCATTTTCACTTCCTAAGGCTTTGATAATACCTATGTGTTGAGAGAGCTACTCTTGGAGGCCAAGACTTCTTCAGGACTAATAAATTTTTGTAGTTAAGTAGACATCATGACAAAATGAGCTATAAGCTAAGTGTGTAATAAACTGAATTGGATTTGACTACTTATAGAGGCTGCTATCTGATTTGACTACTTTTAAAGGCTGCTATCTAATTTGACTTTAAACTCACACTTTCACTTCTAGAAGCTTACTAGCTGTTCACAGGCCATTTTGTTGGCAATGTCACAAAACTACAATGTTGTCCCAAACAAAGAATAAAGTAGTTTTGTTTCTGATGACAAATGCTAGCCACATGAACTATGGACAGCTGGTGCTCCAGATCTATTTAATTATTTTCCTACTTTGGATGGAACAGTGTGTTAGTATCAAAAATGTGAAATGAAGCTTTAAACGATATTAGGGGGAAAATAGGGGAAATGTCAGAAGTCTGTCGTTCACTGGATTCTCCAAACATTTGCACTTGTCTTTGTATTCTTCATCATGGATATCTCTAAATGATCATAAAGCTGTAAGGCACACTATCATTCCTGGGAGAATTTTTTCTTTCTGACCAGGGCTTCGAGAAAGCAATCTAGAAGGTTAAAGAGCAAGTAATATTTGTGCAAACCAACATTTATGTCTTTAAAATTTTAGGGATTTCCTTTTACTTCGTTCTTTAGTGGTTGTTCCCTGTTGTACTGGACAAATACTTAGTAACACTAGTTTTAGTTTTGCAATTCAAGTTCGCAAAAATTCCATGATCACATATCATGAAAAATTAGACCACTTAACTATTGAGCAATAAAATTCTGATACAGAAATTGACTATGCATAAAAGTTATAATCCTGTCCAAAATTGCATCAATCTAATTTAGTAGTGGACTAAGGGATCAATTAGCAAGTTGCTGATAAATAAACATACTTTGTACACACAGAAGCATGCTCAAACTGCTTCATCTCTGAAATCTTATGATGATAACTATTATAGAGAACAAAACAAAACGATTGAATCTGTAAGTGAGATTGCTTCTCTCAGAACAATCTTTGGAGTAAACTAATTCAAAGATTAAGAAAATTTTATGTTTCTAATGATTAGTTTGGTTTTTTTTTTTTTTGGGTTATTCCAATGTGCATATCAGAAAGGGAAGAAATTGGAGGTACAACAATTAAAGTGAGACTATAGACACACTTGAATGTCGAGTCATGGTAAACAGATTGTACCAGTTTCTTGAAGGGGACTCTTGAGACCATGACCAGTTTTAAAAAATCTCTGGGACAATGTTTTCACTTTGACATTGTTGAAACTCTCCCAGGTTTTCATGTTGATTGGATTCCTCATGTAGGCCTTGTTATGTTAATTTGATGCTTTCCTGTGTTATTTTTATTTTTACTTTGTCTCCGTCTCACTTTCCTTTCCTTTTGCCTTAAAAACAAAAAATTAAAATTAAAAAAAAAATCTTGCTTTCCTTTTTGTCCTTTGTTGTGCCACCTCCTCATAACAGTGTCAAGTAACTGGGGGCAAATCCAAAAGATTTAGGATCAATCTAGTTATAGGTTCTTTTCAGAGCTGTATTACAAATGATTATTCTGTTATAAGATCTTTTTGAATTGCTTTATTTTATCCTTTTTTTTTTGGTTTCTTTTGTGGGTACTCTCGTTGTTGTGTCAGCTATTTGTCTGAAGTGGTATGGTGTCTGGATGTGGTATGGTTTTCTACTGAATAAATGAATGTTTAAACTCTTATTTTCCCATTTTCCAAATTTTCGCTCTACCAAGCAAATTTTGATGTTTCTGTGTCCTCCTTATGTAGTTAGTTCTCTTTGAAATCCCCTTTTTTGGGGAGATTCTAGTAGGATGAGCAAATTCTCCCACATTTGCAGATTTATGCTTGTCATACCAACGGGAGTTAATATAACCATATTTTCTATGAAAGGATTAAGAGTACTACGAAAATTGTAAATGTGATGGTTGTGTCAAGCAAAACTCTTGGTATAAAAGGCCTGCTCATGTATGATTTTGAAGTTGGTTGCATATATGAACCATCTCTCTTACGACTTTTTTTTTTTCCTTTTTTTCTCTTTTAATCACCACCCCCAGCACCCTCGCCAAAAAAAAAAGGAAGGAAAAAGAAACTCATTTATCATTTGCTCTATGTTTCTCATAGTTTTTAACTCTCGTATTTTGTCTTTTTATTTTTTATCCATAGGGGAAAAGAGCTTTTGCTTCATGCCTTGATTTTGTTTTCCATGTCAACCCCATTGTTGTTTGTGGTACTTGGAAACTTTCGTTGCTTGACAACTTTGTGTCTCTTGCAGCGGAAGAAGAAAAGAGGAGGAGATTATCTGAAGAAGGTGCAGATGGAGAAGATTGACTTTTCAATTCATTGTTGGGACGCGGCTTGTAATATGGAAATTTAGTAGGAATATTAGGAATTGGTATAGGGATTTACATAAATCTTAGATTGAGCCTTGAGTATTAACCCTGTGCCTTGAGCAGACTACGGGGAGCAGGAAAATTCTGGTAGGCGGAAACTGGGTCTGCTGTGTTGAAATTCGATCTCTGCTGTTATTAGGGAATCTGTTTTTCTTCTCTAATATTCTGGCTTTCTGTTTCATGTTCTTCAGTTTTTGTTTTCCCTGGTCTGGTAGTTTCTGATATCTTCACGAAAGTGATACTACTAGGGAAAATAGCAGAAGCAGTCCTCCACATATCCATTTCTGACTTATAGTTCCTCACATTTGACACGAGGCATTCTTAATTCTTCAGATGAAGATTCTCACATTTAAGGCACAACTTTCATTTTTGGTCTTCGTTTTCCTCCTGAAAAGAACAGCAGAGTGTCATTTGCATAGAACATCTAGGGGCATAAGAGGAAGCACAACAGAGATTTTTCTAGGATTGAGATTATGAGCTCAGGCGAAAAAAGCTTTGTTGTGCATATTTTTTGATGAGAAATGGATTTGCCGGCTATAACGTTTAACTAAAGGAATTTAGCAATTTTGTTTTCCTTCTTGTGTTCCAGCCTATCGTCTATATCAAAAGGGGTTATTCACATTAATACTTCTCTTCTTATTAAGAATAGTAAGAATGATGGAATTTTTGTTCGATTTCTCCAAATATGCAACTCATTTCGTGAAAATCCACTTCAAAAGCGATGTTCCAGAAATTAATTATGACACTTTCCTGAATCGCTAAGCACTTGCTAAGACACAAAGTGTCGAGTTCCTCCACCATAAATAGAGGGAGGTAGGCTCAATATTTTTTTTTTTTTTAATTTTCCCCTTCTTTTGAGTAGAAAGAGGCAGGATCAATTACAATATAAAGGATCTGAGGAGAAGAATTGGGACATTATGGAGGAGGAAGAACATAGAACGGGGTAAAAAAACAATATTTGAGAGCTAACCTGTCGAGCTCTTTAGTTGTTTCCAAGGGTTTCAAAATCGACTTGTATCCAAGAGTTTGGCTGGAGTCAATTTCTTTGGTCATGACATTAACGACTTTTTTTTTTTCAAGTGGAAGTTCTTGACATGACATTTTATCTCCTTTAGATCGAAATTCATAAATCAGTAAGCTGAATAGAAAGCTCAATTCTTTTTCCTTTTTGTTTTCTAGTTTTCAATAAGGGATAACATCAGAAACCTCCACTGGGGATTTTTTTAAATATCACCTAGCCCCTCTAAGATTTTAAAAATATCACTTACCTCCCTTCCTTTGATTATTTGTGTAACAAAATTTTTAAAAAAATCCTAAACTATCCTTTTACTTGTTAAATAAAAATACTCCAAACCCACTTTGTTTGGTCTAAGAAAACTATCACCTAAAAAACAATTTCTAATAGTACTACCATATCACAATACTATAGTCCATAAAAATATAAATTTATAAAGCAGAAAAGATATTTACAAAGAAATACACTAGTACCAATTTAACTCTATATGCTCAAAACCAATTCCTTATGAACCTTATATTTTTTTTTCTAACTTCTTCTCAATCCGTGCCCAAACCTTTAAATTATACTCATCATTATAAAATTTAACTCAAAATAAACAAAATAAAATCATAACGCACTCTATCACAATTACAAAAATTAAAAGGCAAACAAAATTTAATATACTATAATTTACAAGTAAAAGACCTCATAGTCATCCAAAAAAAATGAGTAAAGGAAAATGTTTGAGAAAGGAGAGAGAAGAATTTCCCCTTCAATAAAATGATCAATTAGTATAACTGATTCTATCTATGAAGACCTCTTGAGTCAAGATACATTAACAATCTGTTGAGAGGTGTAGTGAGCTGACCGTACGAATTCTGTCATCAGCATTTGTAACGTTATCATGCTATATAAGCTGACATGAATTTGGAGTTCTAACATTTTAACAATTCAATTCAAAAGTTGGACGGAAATGGATAAGAGTGTGATAATATATTAAATTTAGGAGGTTGGCTACGAAGAATCTTAAGACATAGGGATATTCTATTGTGTGTTTTTACGTATCAAACCCTCAAGTAAAATTTAGCATTTGGGATGGTGAAATAATTGTTTTGAGCCATTAGTTTGTACTGACATTAATTGTTTAAAATTTGAACAACTATCTACTGTTATATTATTCACAGGTTGATGTCTTCTAAAATCTATCTAGTATATACCTGGCAATTGGGTGGATTGGGCGGATTTTGGACGGGTTAATATTGAGTTTTCATTTAAATGGGTTACACCAAATCCGTCCAACTTTAAATTGGGTAATTTTGGGTTGAGTCATATTGGGTCAACTCAAACCCATGACCCAATATATTAATTAATAAATTTTGATCATAAACTCTCTCAAATACATTTTCACATACAATAAAAAAAATTTCACTAATTGTTGTCCATAGCCATTCCTAGAATATATAATCCGTAACTAAAAGAAATAAATTTAGCACTAGCTTCATATTAAAGCTCCAGTTATCCTGTTATGATCGACCTAATAACCCGTATATATTCATTTGGATAATCTGTCATGTACCGAGCGAGCATTCATGTCTAATTGATTAACAATTGTCTGAATCCAGTATAGACTGTGTGGATTTAACCCAATTATATACGAATTGCATCATGACCTAGAAAAATTCTACAATGCAAAATGAACTTATTAGTTGGATTTTCCTTCTGCAGTTTGGAGAACCTACATGGTAGATTTGTGACAAAGAAATTTGCAGTACTGCGTTTTAAGCATCCTAAATGGACGGAACTTTCACTAAAGAAGTTAAATTCGATTATGCTCAAATCCTTTGATCTGAAGGTATGAACTTAATATTTACTGAATCCTTAATTAGTGAACTTCAATTAATTGGCAATTTCTCATGCATCAATACATTGAAGTCACACACCGAAAAGAGATTGGATACAAAGTTTTTTTTTTTCTATATTATTTTGCTTTTTTTCGTAAACACATTTCGAACTATATATAAGACTTGAACAAGTTTGTTGAATAAAACTTTGGCCAGGAGATGTTTTGTTTGATCCAACATTTGGCTTCATTACATGATTCCAAGTCTTTTCTTGTTTCTTGATTTTAATTTTTTTATTTGTTTTTTAACTTAAGTTGGGTAATGGGTACCCAACATAAATACCCAAACCGCCCAAAATATATGTGAGTTTTTATTACCCAACCCAAAATTGACGCAAAACCCAACTTACCCAACCCAACCTCTCAAATTAGTGGGTGGGTTCGGTGGATTGTTGGGTTTTTGGTATAATTGTCAGGTCTAATCTAGTATTATCTATTTTGTTCTGAATTTCTTTCCCTCTAAATTTTTTGAGTTATTTTTATTATAAGATAAATTTGACTAATGTTATGCTTTCAAGTTCAATAATAAAGTAATAATCAATAATTGCGTTACACGAATAGGATTTTAGATATTTTTATTATATTAATATTAAAAATAATATTAAATACTTTGTTCTAAAATTTAAATGATTTTTGACCGTTTGTGATTCCCATGCACAGCATGAATAGTCACTAAGAGATAAAAATTAAGAGAATGGTTTCCTAAGGAGACAGAGATTTTTCCCAAGTTATAAAGTATGCAATGCATTCTCTAATAGCTCAATCAGTGTATGTAATAACAAGAAGGAGGGAGGAAAAAGGTATTGTTTTGGCTTCGATCAGATTGTTGCCGACTTTGTTTAGATGCTATTAAATCTCAAGGCCGCGTTGTATATATATATATATATTTTTTCTATAGCATCAAGTTGGGTTAATTTAAAGGTAAAAGAAAGTAAGTCACATTGAAGGAGTACGAGACAAATTTGCACGGATGAGAGGGCATGAAGATATCATTGGTATAATTTGCCTCAATGACGAATGCAGAATTGAACATACTAAGCACCAAACAACATGAAAGCACATTCGACTCGGCTTTGGGGTTTGTAACATCTCAGTTCCGCCTCAGTCATCATAATCAAATAGGTACCCGTCGTACTGGTGAGGGCATGGTTTAGTGTTTGAAACAATCAGAATTAGAGGTTTTAAATTCAAATTTCATAAATCATTAGTATAGCGTTATATCATATATGTAATAAGATAAATGTTTTATGCATTATTAGTGCATATATTTGACAATATAAAAAAATTAATCTTATGTATTAATTGTGATCATGTTGAACATAATATGTTAGTATTTGATTCTACCCATACACATAGAATATTAGCATGTAATGAGGTTTTGAATTAGCATGAAGCAATCAAAATTGAAACCAGAAAAAGTTAGAAATTTTAGATGCAAGTCTCACGAGTTATTAGTGCATCTTTTTATTGGTGTATATTAATGAATCTGTTTAACAAGTGCCCACATGTAGTTCAGGAGTTAAATTTTTGGAAAAGTAAATTTAATTAGAGAAAGTATATAAATGCAACGGAGATTTATACTTTCATATGATAAATTGGGTGTAATTTATATGGCTTAACAAGTATACACTAAGCATCCATTAAAAAAACTGTATTAATTGTAATCATGAGAAGATGTACAAATGAAAGGGAGATTTAAAATTGTTAGTATATAATTATAAAAAAAAATTGTTATTATATACTTTCACATGATAAGTTGGGTCAGGTGTTTTAACGGATAATTGTTGAGTATCCGCTAAAAAAAATTTATATTGGTTGTAATCATGTTGTATGTTAATATATTAGTATTTTTTTAAAAGACTAATATTTGTATTTGGTGCGACCATATGGATTGAAATCTTATTCTAAGATTTTTTCCATTTTTGGGTTCAACCTATCCTACAAGAAACTTGAAGATATGGGAAGATATTTGTGGAATGATTGAATGAATGAAGCTTCTTTGCTTCTCGTTGATAGCGGCAAACTGTGGAGTCACACCTGCCTCGACTCCACTCTTGGCCGTCCAAGCTCCCAGCTTTTGCCACGTGAACTCTTTCAGGAGCCTCGCGCGACCATGGCGCAAGCAAACCCCACTCAGAATGTTGAGAAAACGTGCCCGGATCTAAATCAAGGCTATTATTGGCTGCAGCAATTATTAATTGTGAAAATTACCGAAAGTAGAAATTAACACGTGGTGATCACCCATAGCTGGATGGTGTGGCCACCACATGATGCTGCCCTTTCTGGCAAGGCA